CATTGTCGAAAATTACACCTGTTCACGCCCTCCTTTCAGGTTACTGGCTCGTTTTCGCCGACTGCTCTGAATCGTACGAAAAATTCAAATGTTCTCCGCCGAATGGCACCATCACAAAGTCTTTCGGATCATTTTCGATATGCACCTCGCGAACATACCACCTTCCTGCACCCATACACCACAAACAATGCATGCTCCATTCGACGAGGTGGGTGTCATGAGTGTTCTTTCACGTCAGTCGCCGAAAGTCATTTCAGGGTGAGAATCGTTCTCAAGAAAAAGATCGCAAAAATCAGTGTAAGTCTCGATGGAACGCTTGAGGATGGACTGGTGCTGCATGTCTTCGTTACTCTGCGCCTCTGGGTCACCGCCTGTGTCACCCACGCTACGGGGCTCACCCGTACTACTACTACTAGTGCACCCGGCAGCCTGGCCTGGGTGGGTACGGGTACGATTTCTGGACGATTTCGCACGCGTACGCTGGCTCTGCTGAGCAGCTTGAAATTTCGGAGGAACACTTGCCTTGGCGATGGCGGCTTCCTTGAGGGATACAACCTCCTCAGTCAGGCCGGACACCTGCCGCGACAGCTCATCAATCCTTTTGTTGAAGCGAGCTTCACGATCGGCCGACTCGGACACTAGGTTAGCCAGGGTCTTGATTACTTCCAGCACAGACGACTCGATACCCGGAAGGGAGAACAAAAGTTTCATCTCTGCCTCTTAGAGCCCCTTGAGGGCGGTCTTTGTAGTTGGGGGCATGGCGGCCAGAGGTGGGTCAGCCCTACTACTAATCTATACTTACTACTAGTACTACTGTAAAACGACAAACTTTCGCGGCGGCTAAATTTAGCGTTTTGGCAAACTGGACCAGTTAGCGGCGATTAATTTTAGCGATTTTTACCTTCCACCGAATATCAAAGAATTTTATTTTACGAAGCCTCGGAGTGCTGGGCGCAGAGTGCATGAAGAATGAGAGAAGAAATCAAAGAATGAAAGTAGGAATCAAGGAATGTAAGAAGGAGTCAAGGCATCAAAGAGAACCATAAGGTAAGTACTAGTACTGGGAGAAAGGATGGCACGTTCGAAGAGGGATCATCGGAAGACTTTCTCTTCGAACTGCTGAGCCACTGCGATACTCATCGCGATACAATTCAGAAGACTTCTTCGAGCAGTACAACACTAAAATCTACGCAACAGCAAGCTGGCCAAACGCTCCAAGAAGTTCTACTACACTCTCCACAACACTGAGACATTCTCCAGTCGATCGTTTTATTCTCTTCTGGTTCAAGTCGCCGTACTCCAACGACAACTAATGTTTCAACGGTTACTTGCAAGACTGGTGTTGGTACGTAACCCGTCGTTGCAACAGCTGCGCACTTTGGTTGGACATAGCCGGCCGTGCAAGCATCGATCAGCGCTGTGAATGTACAGTCAGTGCAGTGAGTGATGCATGCGCATGTACGAGTACGAGTCGTACTGTTCAGATCTGTTGCAAAACGATCGATCGTAGATCTACAAATTAATTTCGCGTGTCAAACTTTCGCGATTCGACCCTGCTCGCGAAAGTCGCGAAAGTTAATCGCTCGCGAAAGTTTGTCGTTTTACAGTAGTCCTCTTGGGCACGCCGAAGGGCTGCCAGGAAGCCGTGGAAACTAAAAACTGCGGAGCTCAAAAATTTGCTTCCACTTCACTGACGCCTCAACCATTGTGTAGATGGAAAGTAACCCCGACTAGCCATGTGCTCTGTCGGAATCAGTATTGACTGCAGCATTGGAATTACCTACAGAGTCAGTAGAGGCATTAGCAATCACGGCAACAACACCACACACTTCATATACACAACAACTACAACGAATCCACCACTCAGGACGGAACATGGAAGACCACACAGATCAACAGCACATTACACCAGGACTTACGCATTCACTAGAGAGGTTAAGTTACACATTTTTTGCCCTTTTATAAAACGCGGTGCAAATCTCACGTTACGTGTAATTTTTAGAGGTTAAGTTACACGTGCGACGTGACGTGAAATTTGGCCTGGCAGGATTCGGGTTTAGTTCACACAAATATCAAATCTTCCAACAAACTTGATAAATCTCGATAAAATTCCGGAAACTCACACAAATTCGGTCGGGATAACCAAGCGAAACTTCCAAAAACTCACGTTATGAACTTACATGTACGTGCGGGACAGTCAACTCACGTAAAACACGTCAAATTTTACGTGAGTTTTTTCCCTTTTTGACGTAAAAGTTCACGGACGTAAGACTTTTACGTGAAACTTAACCTCTCTACTAGAGAGGTTAAGTTACACGTTTTTTGCCCTTTTTCAAAACGCGGTGCAAATCTCACGTTACGTGTAATTTTTAGAGGTTAAGTTACACGTGCGACGTGACGTGAAATTTTGCCTGGCAGGATTCGGGTTTAGTTCGCACAAATATCAAATCTTCCAACAAACTTGATAAATCTCGATAAAATTCCGGAAACTCACACAAATTCGGTCGGGATAACCAAGCGAAACTTCCAAAAACTCACGTCATGAACTTACGTGCGGGACAGTCAACTCACGTAAAACACGTCAAATTTTACGTGAGTTTTTCACTTTTTGACGTAAAAGTTCACGGACGTAAGACTTTTACGTGAAACTTAACCTCTCTACTGTCAACATAAAACCCGTACAACAGGAGAGAACGACAACAGCGGCGGCAATTGCAACTTGCGGTGATGGTGGTGGCGAGACGCGGGTCGAAGTGAGCGAGGAGGACGCGGAGGGTCAAACCGGAGTGGACGATGAAGGGAGTGGTGATTTCAGAAGTGAAGGAGACGGTGAGGTGAGTGATGACGATAGCGATCGTGAGAGTGTGTGTGAGTCGGGAGCGCGTGCGTAAGTTTCGTGGTAGCAAATCCTCAGTGTACAGTCATTAAGGGGGCAGGGGTCTACGACAGGTCACAGCGAGACAGCTCACAGCGCGACAACTCACAGCGAGACAACTCACAGCCAGACAACTCACAGCCAGACAACTCACAGTGTCGTCAACTCACAGTCAAGACAACTCACAACCAAGACACCTCACTGCGCGACAACTCACAGTGTCGACAACTCACAGCGAGGCAACTCACAGCGTCCTTATTTATGTAATGGTGCAATGAAGACCTCTGGGGAGTTGGTCCTAGTAAAAACTTACAATGTATAATTAACTTACAATGTATAATTATGATAATAATAACGCGACGTTCCCGGCACTTCCCTATTTACATGTAGTGCAAAGAAGAAAATAACAGAGAACTTTAATCGAGAAAGAAGACAAAGCCTGAACAAGAAGAAGACAGTAATGAAAATAGAGTTAAAATATAAGATAAAATAAAAATAACCTTGAAATTTCCTGTAAGAATCACATAATGATATGAAATGCCAAGTTCGCAGCAACTCCTCATAGACACAGTCGATGGTAGACCAAAACTTGCGGTACAGAACACAATAATTCTGTTGTCCGCAGTTTCCGGTCCACTGTCGTAGAGAAGGAAGACGTCCCCACCCTTCGTTTCTTGATAGCGCTCCGGCAACTGGAGGTCTTGCAGTGTGCCTGGGTTCGGCGGAATGTTGTGAATCCGCAGGCGATCTCGGTGTGGCTGTGAATTGTCGCGCTGTGAGCTGGTGTGGCTGTGACTTGTCTCGCTGTGAGTTGACGACACTGTGAGTTGTCCTGGCTGTGAGTTGATGACACTGTGAGCTGTCGGCTGTGAGTTGTCGCGCTGTGAGCTGTCTCGCGGTGACCTGTCGTGTTCCCAGGGGGCAGCCTACCCATAAATTTCATATGGCATTCAATTGACCGTAACTTTGGTGTTTCTCAATGGATTTGAGTGAAATTTTGACCACACACTCCTGCCACTATGCTTTACAAGTTCTTGCGCCTCACTGACAGGCTTTCCAGGCCGGAAAAACTCAAATTTCCGGCATAGTGACACGGTGTGCGAGCCACCCAGGAGCCAAACAAATGCATTTACAATTTTTTCACATTTTCGTGCTCATTCTGTTCGTGTGCGGGACTCAAACCTAGAACAAGTCCAGAAGCAGCCATGGGTGATGGGGTAGGGCACCTCAACGAGGCCCTGGAATCTGTCACAACGGAACGAGTGGGCGTTCTCTCACACACTCCCACAGACCCAAGTCAATTTTTGAATTTGTTTAGGTTTAGCACGTGCTACGAGGTCGTACCTTTGATACAACATCCAGTGCTGGGACCTCCACAGCAAGCCATTTCCACAGCGCTGCACACCAAATCCAGGATACCCTCAGAAACCGGCAAAGACTACCACTCACGTTTCACTACTGCCTAGTACTGAATCCTACCTGACCTCTTGACACGACTCAAACTTGCCAAAGTCACTAAATCAACGTCAACTACAATAATCAAGCCACATATCTGCAACGTCACGAGGGTGCTGGCAAAAGTCCTGCTGCAATACCTGGCTCAAAAACCTGATTTTTTGGACTTGGAGCAAAATTCTGCACACTTTCACGTGTTTCCATGATACGACAAGTTGCGCACGGTCTGCTCACATTCAAATACAGTGCTGCCAACAAATGACAGCGTGCAACAAAAAATCTTTCCTTGCAAGGGCACATTTTCGGCCATAACTCTTGAACGGCCGGTCAGATCGGGACACAATTTTCAGAGAATTTGCAGCTATTCATGCTCTTTCAACTGACGTAGCACTCAATATGAATTTACAAATTCGATTTTTCAGCGAATTTTTGGGTAGTCTGCCACCTTAAAAGGGGAACTGTCACTATAATTTTGCTTTGTCTTATCTTGTAGTTCTTTGGTTCCTGATCACCATGGTGTTATTCGTTTTTCTCTGCGATGACTGGAAGTGGGTGAAAACTTGAAAAGAAGGTGCCCAAAATAGTCCCGAAGTACCGAGTGACGTCACGCCGGACTTGACCTCCACGCGTACACTCACTAGTCCGCAGGCCAGGGTTGAAATTTTTCGAGATAAAAAAATCTCGCTCCCGCTCAGGGGGGACCAAGTTTGGTTGTGGCGAACCGAAAGAGGACCCCTCGGGCTACTCGAAACTACTTTTGGGTATCCCCGGAGCTGGGGCTTTCGTGCGGAGTAAGCCCTTTTGGTTCCAATTTTCGGAACGACCCCAAGTGCGCAGTTGTCGTCTCCTGCAATTTTGAGTACGCGGAGAGCCTGCTCAAATTTGAATTTCGCTTTCACGTGGCGCGGCACGTGGGGCGGCACTGCAGAACTAGAAGAAATTGAAGCAGTCGGATACAACAAAGAAAGCCGAAAAGGGCTTACTCTACACGACCAACCGATCCATGGCGACTGTTTCGGGTAGCCCAAGGAGTGCTCCTTCATCCTTGGGCAACCATACATGTCTCCCTTCGACTGAGCACGCAGGTTAGGGAAACGATAATGTTTTACTGCGCCAGATGAAGGAATCGTCGAGATAGAGAAGTTTTGGTGACTGACATAATTATAAGCATAAATTATATCTCCCAGAGGCGATGGCCTGTCGAGGGATAGAGATATGATATGGACACTGGAGTATGGAATCAGTTGATCCGAAACCCCGCCGGAACACTCGGCAATCTGTGCAGGCCCCAATTGTCGAGCCAGGCCGTCAAACCTGCATTTTCTGCGGCTCTTTGAAAAAGAAGATTCCAGGCAAAAGCACTAAGCAAACAACGTCGCTCTTGCAATCCGAGGATGGCGAGCAAACCCTTCGTGCCGCTGCCGAGATCAGGCAGGACGACAAGATCTTGATAGCAATAGGCTCGAGTTGCTTGATAGCACGCGAAGCGTACTATCATAAGTATTGCTACCGAGAATATACTCGGGCCAAAACACTTGCTAGGCTGCAAGATCAGGGCGAGAGCGCAGCCACTTGTGCGCCTGTTGCCAGTGCGGGCACCGAGATTGATAAAGATTTTTTTACTGAAGTAGAAACGCTGCTGTTTGTGGAATGTTTGGTTCGGACCGTCAGTGACCTGACTCGATTGTTCAATCAAGTGTCCATAGAAGGGACAGCGCTAGCGAGAAACGAAAGAGTCAAGGGACTACTAATGGATAAGTATGGCGAGTCCATAACGTTCTCTCGTCCCCGCGCACGGAATAAATCCGAGTTGGTTTACGCCACGGAACGTGCACCAGTGATAATAAAAGCACGACTGTATGACAGGGACGCTGCGAGCGAAAGCGAGAGTGAGGAATCTGGTGACAGTCCTAGTGCTAGCGCCTGTGAGAGCCAAGAGGGTATCGCTAGTACCACTACCAGTAGGTCTACCAACTATGGAACAAGAGCACCCAGACGCCCCGCTGAAGTGGATGTGCACCAGACTGTTATTATGCAGGACAGCATACGTCTGGTATACCATTCGGCTAGGCTCCTGCGGAATGCCTGTCAGCAACAGGCAGAGAGTTTCGACACTACAAGCACAAGTCCTGGCAGCAGCACTGGTATGATTTCAGTGAAGCAAGCTGAGCAGTGCATTCCTGCCCTGCTCCACAATTTCCTTGTGTGGTTTTTGAGCTCAGGCCAGCATGACAATATACCAGCAGCATCCAGCAAGCTTGAAGTTGATTCCACGCTCAACCGCTGTGTGATGTCCTTTGCACAGGACCTAGTGTTCCAGTGCACAACTATCGTGCCACCAAAGCATGTTGCTCTTGGTTTGGCTGTACACCATCTGTACAGAAGTGAACGACTTGTGACCATACTGAACAGATTTGGCCACAGCATTGCGTACGCCCAGGTGCTGGAGAGAGAGACACGGAACCGGTGTAAAGACTCGCTACATCCTGATGAATGCTATCAGCGAGAAGTTGGGCCAAGCTGTTTGTGATGCTCTACCTGGCTTTCATGCTTTTACGGGCTGTGACACAACAAGTGCCTTTGCAGGCAGAGGCAAGAAAGGTGCCTTCAAGCTTCTGTGCAACAACTCCCCGGAGAGTGCAGCTGCCCGCTTGGCCTTCAGTACTTTGGGTGCAGCTTTTACACCACTTGCCACCGATGTCATCGACGCCCTAGAGAAGTTTGTCTGCATCATGTACAACACCACGTGTTCCCGGGTCAATGATGCCAGGTACCAGCTGTTTTGCACAAGGAGTCTGCAATCCAACCAACTGCCACCCTGCAATGACGCCCTTCTAAAGCACTGCTGCCGCTCCAATTACCAAGCTGGTATTTGGAAGCGATGCCTCTTGTCACATGTGGATGCACCATCACCGAATGAGAAAGAACAAGGTGAGAGCAGCAATAGTAAAGTACACCTAAGTAAGAGAATGGCAGAATGTATTTCAGTATGTATCTTGTCTGTGTTGGTGTTGAATAAGAAAGTGCAGCAGGCTTTAATACTTATGTACCTGTAAGAGTACCCGCTGTGATAAATCTGCTAAGAAGATGTTGTATAGAACCAGTGTACTTGATATCTCTGTATGTAATGGAGTTTGAACATTTTTTCCTGTCGCTGTGATTCTTCTCTTCATATTACAGGCTGGCACCTAGAAAGCAATGGGACATTGGCAGTTGACTGGTTAAGCCTGCCACCTGCTCCAAAGTCAATCCTAGAGTTCCTCCGGTGCGGGTGCAAAACTGGTTGCAGCAGTGGCAACTGTTCGTGCCGCCGGCATATGCTGTTGTGTACAGATGCTTGCACCTGTCGGCACCACTCTTCAGTAGTATGCACAAACTACCCAGAGCAGCATGCAGCATTGCCTACGACCCAACACATCTCACCTGAAACTGATTTGTAAGTAGTCATTGATATCTTGTTTTGTTTTAAAATAATGCCGTCAATGAATGCTTCACGTGAGAGATATTTATGATAGTAACTGTTTATACCATTGGTGTACATGGCTGGTCAAATCCTTTTAAGTAATGTGAACTTGAATTCAATACTTACAAAGCGTTATATTCTCGTATGTGTGTTATAGGGTCTGCAGTGACACAGCTCATGACTGATAGCAGCCAGCCAACCGTAAGGATTCGGGACTGACAAACTTGTAAGCAATCACTAGTTGCCGTTATCTCTGTGCTGTATTAACTTCCAAGTCTTTAAGCATGAGAGATGCGCTGCTAATGAGCACCTGTCCATACTGACTATACTTGGCCATGTATGTAGATCCGTCACGCGGCTTGCTGCTAACGGGACACAATCATTGTGCGATGGTCTTTTTTCTTTCTTTCTATCTTTTTCAGGTTGAGCAATCATGTGCATGATGGATAGCAGCCAGCTCTAGAGTGTCCCACCACCTCTGGGATATCTTGCAACAAATCTTATGACAGATCTGTGTCAGCATCAGTGGATGCCGGAACTGTCTTTCTTTGGCCGACAACCGCATCCCGCAGCACGGGTGATAGCACATCTTCTTCTTATCATATTATCTACATGACTGTAATATTGTCATTATAATTTAACCTGTACCTTCATTTTAAATTGTTTCCAGAGGACCTATGATCTTCTTACTGGAGCTCCTATACCAGAAAAGTTAGGCATGAAATATGATCGGAATGTCCGGAGACCCATGAAAGCGTGACAGTAATAGTAACTTTACAGATTATGCCAGTACTAAGACTTTATTATTATAATCAGAGACTTCATGCTAGGAAATAATAAATTATCCTTCTAGTGTACTTGTCCTATTTCCTATTTTGTGCAGGCTCCTTGTTGTATAATATGTTCTCAAATGTGACATACATTATTACAATGTATTACTATTGTGAAATGACCCAAAGGCAGTATGCCTATCGAGGGGTTCATTTGATTGAAAGAACAGTACTACTACTAGTATGTGGGGCTTGATGAGGAGAGAAACGCGGAAAATGAACTGCAAGGTGTAGTGGCGGAATTCCGTTGATTGCATAAGCATGGTTAGTGTATATTGCATTCCGTGTATTGACGCTATTGTGTTCTATTCTAAGAAATGCTATTGAGGTAGTAAAACACCTCCGATCATCATGAAAATGTGTACACAGCTAGGTCTGGGCCTTGGCTACTTCATTCCAAAGCAACACTGTTGGTATTTAATCTGCAAGATACCTAAATTGGGAATTATCACTTTGGTTGCTATGGTAACACTCTTCAAGAAGTATTTCGTTGATTTGGTCAACAAAGCCCCATGTTTCTGGGTCAAGTGACACAGATCCTGAAAGCTCTATGTATTCTCTATCATTTGCACATGTCAAACCTTGGTCCCCCTCGAACGGGAACGAAAAGTCACTTTTTTGCACCTTGGCCTGTGGACTACACTGTCAAAAACGAAGTCCAGCCCGTGTGGTCGATCGAGTCAACTGTTCGATGTACGGTGCACGCTTGGCTTCTGAACTCGGACACTCGATATACGTACGTTGTACACAATGAGAGCGCCAAAAGGGACAAAATAAACAAAAGTCGACAGCAGTTTGTCGCACTGGTACTTCCTCTACGAAGCTCCAGCTCTTTGTTTTATTTGTTAACGAAGGAGTGGAAGGATGTTTGTTTGCTGTTAGTGTGACACACATACCAATTCAATTGCATTTGATTACACTTCTTGCAAATCTGTCTTAAATTCTAAATGCTCCCTAGAGTCACTAGCCTATCGTCGTCAAATCATCAGTCTCACTACTTTTCACAGATATGTTTTCCATCATCGTGATTACCTTGCTGATTTCCATTTCAAGATTACGAATAGTGAGCGACGACCAAATAAAATCATTCTTCCCAAATTTAAATCATTGTCTAAGTCTCTCTTCATGTTCCGAACTGCTATTCTATGGAACTGCTTACCCCCCAGTCTAACATCGGAAGCCTCGCTCTATAAGTTCAAAGCTGGCCTCAGGAAATTTACAGCTGACCATGCTTATGCAATCAACGGAATTCCGCCACCTTGCAGTTGATTTTTCCCATTTCTCTCCTCATTAATCCCTACTTGTCTTTGTACATACATCTACATCTACTGTTCTTTCAATCAAATGAACCCCTCGATAGGCACATTGCCTTTGGGTCATTTCATAATAATAATAATAATAAATACTTCGTGCAGTAGTTTGGAGGCGTTGGGAAAACAGTTTCGTAATAAGTATTCGCAAGCAACGACGCAAATCCACACAATTCAGTAGACACTTCTTTCTATCAAACGTTTTCTTTCCCTTCTCTTCAGGATAGTACAGAATACTTCGTACTTGAAAATTATGTCGTTGTATCGAAGGTGGCGGTGTTGCCCTCCCGGCTCTGAAATGAAAGACGTCGGAGTTTGTCATCTGCATCTTCAGCAACATCGCCAGATGAATCGCCTTCACGTAGCTGCATTGCGTTCCTTTGGGGCTCGGGTTGGTGGTGTTATCGTCGGCCGGAGGAGTACTGTTTTCTGCATACGCACTCATCATCGTGTTGTTCGTCACAGGAAAAGTTCAAAACAACGACGTGTACTTCCGTCCTCACGAAATAAAACTTAGATCCTCGCGGAAGAAGTCAAAAAGGTGAAAGCTCAGCTGCTTCATATTTTGATTTGGCTGTGCACAGTGTAGCTGCACGTGGGTCTCTGCCTCTTTGGCATTCTCCTTCGGTACGACGTAAACATCTCTGTGTTAGTTTTTTGAAAAGGCACACGTGCACCGCACATTAGAAAAGCTATGTAGAGGATATTCCCAAGTACGAGGGTGTTACCTCCCGAATATCATCCCGACTGCGTAGCAGGAGGGATGATATGAGGGTACGGTAACACCCGAGTACGCGGGTCAATATCCTACCAAGAGTACATCTTGATCCTACTTATCCCAGGTACATCTACGCATTTTGGGGATCGACGCAACTGCGTTCTGAATACAATTACTGTACCAAGGTACAGCTATACCGAAAACAAGGTGCTGCCTTTCTTTTCAATCCAGTCAAGGTTTGAGAGCGATGGAGCTCGGGAGACAAGTTGCATTTTAGTATTTGGACTAGAGAATTGACGAAGATTGCACTGTTAAGTGTTATGATACATAGTCATTTGGTTCAAAGTAAGGGCCATACTTCAAAGTCACGGCGAGATACCACGTCATTATGTATGCCAGTATGGAGGCTGGTGCTGACTTCCTTGTCATTGGATCGGCGTGGAACTTTCAACGGTTTGGGATCTTTGCTGAACACTGTCCGCAGTGGTCCGTGCAGGCAGTAGCCACATTGTACATATCGTCGGACATTGGCACCAGTGAGTAAAGTGCATTTCGTTGTATCAAGACTCTTCGTTGTATCACTATCGGCCACTATGCAATCAGAAGAACGGTGATCTTGTTATATTATAGGCATACTGGATGTGTAGCAGCATCTACGTTTTAGATTGTTATTGTTGTTGTTGTTGTTGATTTTTATTTTACTTCGCAAGGCCAAACGGGCAATGGTGCCCAATTCTATGGAAGCCAATTTAAAAAGGGAGAGAGCTACGGGGAGAGAGAGAGAAAGAGAGAGAGAGAGGGGGGAGGGAGGGAGATGATAAGCAATTTTGCAGCGTCAACAGAGCGATTTTGCAGTGTTAATAGAGCGATTTTGAAGCGTCAACAGAGGGAACACAAAGAGTTTATAAGCGCACAAGCACGCAGAGAAGAGTAAATGACGTGGTGTGTGGACGGGAAAAGTCAGACAGAGCATTCATTGCAAGGTGTAGGGGATGGAGGCAAGCTTAAATTGCTGGGCAGCCTTGATCTCCCTTACACTCCTTGGGAGAGCGTTCCAGGCCAAGGCTGCCTGAAAGGCCAGGCGAGGTCTGCCGGCTTCTGACTGTGCCGAGGGGACAGTGAGGACCCTGGAAACCTGGTGCCGGGTGGTGCTGCCAGCTGATGGTGAGAATAGGTCCTGGAGGACACTGCTGGCTTTCCCATTGACACAGCGCCACACCAGGACGAGCCGCTTCTGGGCGTGGCACTCGCGAACTCTGTACAGGGACATCCGTTCGAGCAGAGGCTGAGCCGAGGTGTGAGGCGGCAAACCGTATACCGCTCTCGCCGCTCGGTTCTGCAGGACCTGAAGGCGATCAAGCTGCGAAACCTTGAGGGAGGAAGAGAAGGCGTTAGACCCATATAGGAGGTCAGGCATGATGACTGACCTCACATACTGGATGCGACTACTGAGGCTCAGACATCTGCGGGACCGCCACAATGCTCCAATCTTCTGCACAACTTTCTTCGCCATCGCGTCAACATGGGGGTGCCACTTCACAGCGGCGTCAAGGGTCACGCCGAGGTACCTTGCTGTTGGGCTCAGGGGAAGCTCTGTCTGGTTGCAGCGGACAGTGACATGCTGACCCGCATTGCGTTGTGGTACAATTGACAGGACCTGGCTCTTCTTGTCATTTAGAAGCAGATGTCGATGCTTGAGCCAGTCAGCGACGTTGGTGACGGCCCCTGATAGGCAGGCTGATGTGGCTAGCACTGATTTTCTGTAGCAGTTCTCGTGGTAATCGTACTGGATACAGTGTCATGATAATCACTGCAGGTCATATCTTGCATTCATATCTTATCTACATCACACATGGATTGCTGAGCTCTTCTTCTTTCACACTGTTGAATATTCTGTACAAGATTTTTCCTCTCACTTTCACGTCTTGTACTTTTCGTGTTGTTACGGTATCTCTTTACCGTTGTAATTTTCACTCGGATGGTGATACTTTGTGTAGTTTTCGAGTTTACAAAGAGTGAATGAGAACAGATCACTTCGAAGTCTCCTTTGTGTCGTAGTGTTGAGTTGAATAATGATTGGAGTTCGTTGTTTGTTTGTGTGGAATCTGGTTTTGGACGTAGTCGCGGAGGTAAGTTCTCTCCGTTTACTTTTACTGTACCGACGGTGCACTCTGCATTGGCATGCTCCCACCCTCTCACGGTTCTGTGTAGTGTATTTTGTCGCTGGGTTTCTGATTGACAGGACTCCAGTGGCAAGATGCATTGCATCGAATCGAGAGGGGGTGGGGCATGCCAATGCAGGGTGCACCGTAGGTACGGTAAAAGTGAACCCAGTTAATTAATAATGAATATCATCCCGCGCGGGATTGTATTGGCTATTATTTCCCGGTCAGCAAGGCTCCTGATTGGCTGAAACAGGCCTATAGTACCGTGCCATGGGATAAATGTATATACTCGATCGACGAGCACACGGGCTGGACTTCGTTTTTGACGATGAATGTACGCGTGGAGCTCAAGTCCGGCGTGACGTCACTCGGTACTTCGGGACAATTTTGGGCACCTTCTTTGCAAGTTTTCACCCACTTCCAGCCATCGCAGAGAAAAACGGATCACACCATCGTGATCAGGAGCCAAAGAACTACAAGATGAGACAAAGAATTTTTTTGATGACAGTTCCCCTTTAATTGGTCTCTGCAGGGTCCTGATTGTTGCAGTACTTATTCTGATTAATGCTTTTCTGTTTTGCCGTGCCGTGCTCGTCATAGTTGATTGATTTTATTTGGATTCGCGAGACCAAACGAGCAGGAGTGCTCAATAACAGGGTGGCGAATGGTTGAGTTGTGCTATGTGACAATGTAGTGTGTGCGTGGATGGGGGGGGGGAGCTGCGGAGGCCCAATACAATGTAAGGGGATGGGAGGAGAGAAGGCCAGCGGAGAGTCAAATTCAGAAGAGGGAGGAGAGAATAGCTGAAGTACACGGTTACTGAGCGAATTCAAATAAACCAAACAAACAGCAAAACAAGTACACAGCTCACGAGAATAAAGAGGACTGGAGCACAGAATTGAACTGCTGATGTACACAGCTGACGAGAATAAAGACAGGAGCACAGAAATGAACGGGAGGCAGTCTACGAAGTGGTGGTACCATCGGTG